CACACACACACACACACACACACACATATATATATATATATATATATCAATCCCCAATACACATATATATCAATCCCAACCCACTCCTTTCACACAACTAGGTGGTAGAGATGGTCATAAAGAAGTTCGCCATCACCACCAACCAAGACTTGTACTCGCTTCACGAGGTTGACGCAGAAGGCGTGGACAAGGCTATAGCTGACACAGACTGTCTGGTAGACGTTATGATACAATGGGGAGTGCAGCTGTACCCCCACCGCAGTTTGAAGCTTGATTTTAATACCAAGAAGTGTGGCAAAGGTCAGAGACAGAGTGGGGTGACTTGTAGAGAGGCTGCCGCGGCCATTGATGAGGTCAATTGTAGGTGCCGGGGGTGACATATGTTGTATTGAGCAAATGTTAATCTATGCTATTGATGGTGTGTATTTATTGTATCAAGCATATGTTAATCTATGCTAGTGATGGTGTATATATGTTGTATCAAGCATATGTTAATCTATGCTAGTGATGGTGTATATATATTGTATTTGTTAATCTATGCTAGTGATGGCGTACATATACTGCGTTTAGCATGTACTAACTAATTGCTAGCTGTGGTGTATTCAATTGTAGGTGCTAGTGATGGTGTATATATATTGTATTAAGCATATGTTAACCTACGCTAGTGATGGTGCTAACTAAGTGCTAGTGATGGTATGTATATATCGTACCATGCATATAACACTCATTGCTTATTCTGTTGGCCGTTGTCTCCAAGTGCTATGTTTGGTTCGGTCACTCGTTGCATAGCCGCGTCATCCACTTCACTGTCTTGTCCTCGGCTAATCACATGACACTCACTCTCTCATTCTAATAAAACATGACACTCACTCTCTCATTCTAATTACATGACACTCACTCTCTCATTCTAATCACATGACACTCACTCTCTCATTCTATTCACATGACACTCACTCTCTCATTCTACTCACATCACACACACACTCATTCTAATCACATCACGCACACATACTTATTCTAAGCACATGACACTCACTCTCGCATTCTTATCACATGACACTCACTCTCGACCATTACCTGGTACGTTCGTATTGGGTACAACCTTCTTACTCGGCTGTATGAATTT